ATATATATATATATATATATACGCATTACACCCAATAATCATTTATTAATAATAGACAATTAATAACAATTAGACAATTAATAGCAATTAAACAAATAACAAGAACAACAACAACAACAATAATAATAATAATAATAATAATAATAATAATAATAATAATAATAATAATAATAATAATAATAATAATCATAATAATANNNNATAATAATAATAATAATAATAATAATAATAATAATAATCCCAATTATTCATAAACAAACGGGGCATTACACTAAGGGTCTCTCGATTCAAACATTTGGGCACCAAGACAATTAAAGTGTTGTTAAAATATCTTAGTAATTGTCCAGAGCTGAAAAGACTGTATACTGTTGTACAAATGTCTTCCTTCACAATGGGCTAAAAGTGCTGGAAAAACAAAGTTGTAATGTCGTCCTCTCCGGGTGCTTCAAGGGATTCATAACAAACAAAGCACTATTTATTTCTTCCTCTTCCACTACAGTGACTGGACTGTCTTTCAGCTCTGCTGTTATGGTTTGGGGGATAACATCAAGAAGTTCTGGAGTCCCATGTGATCTTTCTGTGGTGAATAATTGATCATAAAATTGAATCACATGGGCCTTGACTCCTCTGTATTTGTACACACTCTATTATTTGCAACAAGCAATCTGGAGATGCCATTTTCTTTCTCCTTTGGACTGTGTATGAATGTAAAAATTTCGAGTTCTGATCACCCTCTTTCAACCACAACTGTCTGGATTTCTGTTGCCAATAGCTCTCTTCTGAGTCATTTTCCTTTTCCAATTCAAGTTGGATAGAATTCCACTCATCCCAATTTTTATCACCTCCCATTTGCCTCATTTCTTCCAGTTTCAGGGTCAACTGATTGATTTTTTCTTTACTCTCTGAGTTGAACATTTTGTTCCATTTGGATAGAGCAATTATTGCTTGTTTGAACCTCTCTTTCACCTGATACATGGGAGTACCCGTTTGTGGCAAATTCCAGGTTGTTTTGACAATTTCTTGGACTCCTTCCTTCTTCAACCACCTTTTGTCAAAATTGAATCTCTTTTTACTTTTCTTCATTGTCCCTTCGGTTTCCACAAGAAGAAGGCTATGGTCAGATGCACTTTTGTAAAAGTTGGTCGCTTGAGCACTAGGGTGATTGGACTGCCACAGCAGAGAGCCAAAGGTTTTGTCTAATTTTTCTACAACATAGCCTTCTAGCTCTCTTCTATTTCCCCATGTAAATGGATACCCTTTCATAACAATTTCCACCATTCCCATTGAAGAGATGAAATTAATAAAATCCTGGAAACTGGCAGCAGACCTGGTTCACCCTCCCTTTTCTTCTTCATTACTGCATATATCATTCCAATCACCTGTTATTGCCCACAAATCCCCCCAATACCTCATGTCCAACCACAACTGCTCCCATTGAGCTATTCTGGTTGTCTTATCAGTACTCATGTACACAAAGATAATCCGTTCTGAGGTGATATTGTGTCTCTCCATATACTCCACTTAGATGTAGTAGTTAGTATCTTTCATCTGCATAATCTTTACTTCTGAGTCCCACATTAGAAGTAATCCACCTCTGGTGCCTTGAGGTTCTACCAAGCAAAAGCAGTCCTCAAACCCTAATTTTTTACAAACAGCTGTAGTAAACTCTTTTTGTTTTTTTGATTTCTGATAAAAACACAAAATTTGGATGGTGAGCTGCAATAGACTCTTTCATTTGGGAAACTGTAGAGGGTCCACCCAAACCTCTACAGTTCCACACCACATCACTCATTAATCACTTTGAGGCCAATTGGGGTTGGCTACCTCCACCCTATCTCCTTGGATCTTTTGTTTTCTCTGAACTTGGTCTTCCTTCGTTAGATTATTGTTGTCCTCAAATAGCTCCCCTATATGGTCTTCTCTTATTCTTTTCAATCCTGAGGACTCCACCTTGGCTTTCTGGTTGGATAGATTTCTAGTGAGTTTACCTTCAGTGACAGGTGCCTTTTTCCATGTTTTTTATTGAGGAAGATTGGTTGTTTTTGCTGTTGAGAGATCAAGCTCATGGAGAATGTTCACTTACCCATGGTGGACACATGTTAATATGTTCACTGCTTATGTGGCATGCACACATTGGTGATGTCAATATTTTCAAAAAAATACATCACCAATGTGTGCATGCCACATAAGCTGTGGACATGTTAACATGTATCCACCGTGAGTAGGAGAACATTACTGTCAAGTTCATTGCCCTCAGTTTCCACCTCTATACCTTGGTTATTGTGTTGCCCTTGCTAGTCACTAACTGCATTGTTGGGTGGAAAAAATTCAAGTATCTGGTATCCATCTGCCGCTTTCATCCAATCTCCATAGCATCCCTATCTGAAGCTCCTTCTTCGCAATATCCTCAATTTTCTTTTTGCAGCTTTTATCGGCGTGACCAATTTTGCCGCCGTAATTGACTAAAACAAAATTAAGAATAACAAAAATAAAATGAATTATATATAAAGTTGGTAACGAAATAATTTTTTTTTCGTTTCATAAACTTGCGAGTTGCCATTATCAATCAGCCCAGCCGTTCGAAATAAAAAATAACGAATAAAAAACATCATTTGAAATTATAGAACTTATCTTATATTATCATTGCAACTTGTATATTGGAAGAATCGCCCCACATGTGCAAAATTATTCACATACGACCAAATGATCTGTGACGTCCCCCTCTCAGGATCTCGACACGTGTGCAGCACCCACGCCTTCCTACCGTCGGATTGAAATTGCAGGAGAATAGCTCAAATTACATATATACCCTTGGAACTGCCTATAAATTCATCCCTTTTCCCAACGAGGTTTACACAATTGAAACTCCCCCTTTCCGTTCTGTGCCCCCAATAAATACTATAAATAAATTGTTCCATTTTCTCTCTCTAAATAAAATTTTTTTCTCTGAAAAAAAAAATAATAATTAAAAAAAAAAGAGTGGTGCGGTTTCCAATAGGGAATGCATAGAGATGAAAAGAGCTCCGGTTTGTAACCCCCAATTAGCCAAGAAACCGCTCACCAATGGCCGTAATTGCCACCGGAAACACGTCGAGGACGGGTGAAATCGCCACCGCCACCACCACCACCACCGTAAAAAAGCCGGAAACCCCATAAGCCATAACCCTCTATTCATAGCTTCAATTATTGAAATATTTTCACAAACACACGCAAAGAGAGAAGGGAAGCTAACCTTACCGAGCTTTTTCCATGGCGGCTGCCGACGAGAAGTGCGGCGCACTGAACGGGAAGTACGAGCTGGGCCGCCTCCTCGGCCACGGCACTTTCGCGAAGGTGTACCACGCGCGGAACCTGCAGACTGGCCGGAGCGTGGCCATGAAGGTAGTTGGGAAGGAGAAGGTGATCCGCGTGGGGATGATGGAGCAGGTGACGCGCGAGATCTCGGTGATGCGGATGATGCAGAGCCACCCAAACATCGTCGGCCTTCACGAGGTCCTGGCCAGCAAGTCCCGGATCTACATCGCCATGGAGTACGTCCGCGGCGGCGAGCTCTTCGCCCGGGTCGCCCGCGGCCGCCTCCGGGAGGATGCCGCCCGGGGCTATTTCCAGCAGCTGCTCTCCGCCGTCGATTTCTGCCACAGCCGCGGCGTGTACCACCGTGATCTGAAGCCGGAGAACCTCCTCCTCGACGAGGACGGCCGCCTCAAGGTCACCGACTTCGGCCTTAGCGCCTTCTCCGCCCACCTCCGGCAGGACGGCCTCCTGCACACCACCTGCGGCACGCCGGCGTACGTCGCGCCGGAGGTGATCGGAAAAAGGGGGTACGACGGGGCCAAGGCCGACATCTGGTCCTGCGGGGTCATCCTCTACGTCCTCCTGGCCGGCTACCTCCCTTTCCCGGACGACAACTTGGTCAGCATGTACAAGAAGATCTACAGAGGCGACTTCAAGTGCCCGCCGTGGTTCTCGCCGGAATCCCGTAAACTTATCACAAAAATGCTGGATCCGAACCCGACGACCCGGATTAGCATCGCCAAAATCATGGACTCGTCCTGGTTCAGGAAATCGCTCTCGAGAAACCTGAAAACGCCGCAAGAGGAGGATTTGAAATTTGGGGATGAAACGAAAATGGAGAGCCTGAACGCTTTCCATATAATTTCCCTGTCGGAAGGGTTTGACCTGTCTCCGCTGTTCGAGGAGGAGAGAAAGGGGGATAGGGAGGAGATGAGGTTTCCGGCGAGTGGGTCGGCAAGCACTGTGGTGTCCCGGCTGGAGGAGGTGGGCAGGACGAGCAATTTGAGAGTGAGGAGGAGCGGTGAGACTTGCGTGAGGATGCAGGGGCATGAGAGCGGGAGGAAAGGGCGGCTGGGGATAGCGGCCGACGTCTTTGCGGTGGCCCCGACTTTTGTCGTTGTCCAAGTCAAGAAGTCGAGCGGTGATACATTGGAGTACAATAGCTTCTGCAGAAACCAGCTCCGCCCGGCGCTCAAGGACATAGTCTGGAGCTCCGCCGCTGCCGCCGGGAATTAATAAAAATTATTATGTTAATTGATTTCTGGGTTTGATTTAAGTTTGGAATAATTATGTGTACTGTTGTTAAATTTCACTTTTATGAGGTGTATCGTGTATGTTTTTTTTTGTCAGATTGTGTTTATTGTTTGAATGTGCATCAGAACACAGAAAGCTGTTGTGATTCAGAATCTTTTGTTTGGTGAACCGTAGTGTAAATTATTTGAAGCTAGTGGGGTGGTCTTGAACTTTTTACATTATAATAACTAGGAAGGTAACGGCTATGGGACCACAGTCGGTCCACGAGTAATGACTTCATGATGTGTTTGATTTCATGATGTGTTTGATTGTTTTTTGTTTTAATATGTATATATATAATTGTAATCTAAATTTTATTTAGAAAAAAAAACAAACATTTATTAAAAAAACCAAAACTTTAGTACCAACCAAATATCAAAATTTTCAAATGTTCAAAAGCTAGATTGTTAATCCAGTTGCAAAGTAAGATTTCAATTGACTAGTTACTTACTATGGTGGATGTGGAAAACGAGGAATCTTTTGATATTTGAGCGAAAATCTTCAAAAGCTAGATTGATAATCCAGTTGCAAAGCAAGATTTCAATTGACTAGTTACTTACTATGGTGGATGTGGAAAACGAGGAATCTTTTGATATTTGAGCGAACAAGAAGATCAGAGTGGCACACAGTTAATTTAGCTTTGCAAGATTGGAATGAATTTGCTCTTGTACAGTCTTGAATGAATTTGCTCTTGTACAGTCTTGTAGGTAGTCTGCCCTTTTTTGTCTTTGGGTTGTTTCTTTGCTTTATTAGTCTTTTGTTAACATGCTAGATCCCTTTTTAGGTGCAGTGATATGCTAATTTTGCTGCCTTAGATTAGTAGTTGTTTCTGCTATGCTAGGCCTGGGATGGATTTTCATTTACGGGTTCAAAGTTCTCCTTTGCCGCAAATGAGGTCTGTTCCTCAATTTATTTAGGAGCTTGCTCCTCTGTCTGTAAGGTTTCTTGCCTGTAAACTATTTTCTTTTCTTTTATAAAATTTGTCGTTTCGAAGAAAAAAGCTAGATTGATACAGTGTTCAGAGTCCAGAGTCAATAGCAGATGAAATGAACAAGAGAGGATACGATAGAATAATAATATTCACCATGTCCAAAAATTTTGCTTAAATCAGCAAAATTTTCTAAATACACAAATGTTGGAAAATCAGTAATATAAAATTGGGTATGATCTAGTTTTGACTAATTTTTTATGGCTAAATATTTAATTCGAGTTGAATTAAATCGTGTAGAAACAATCCTACGTTCCGAGCAGATACTCGTGGTATATTTAATTTCTCATTACTGATTTTCGGTGAGTGAGAAATAAATGTTAGCCATAAATGGGAACGTAGAACGTTGGTTGTGGGATTCGAATGGTCAAAAGTTTTATCCCACATAGAACTCTTAAATGAGATTAACTCTCTTTATTATGATAAAGAGAGTTGGAGAGGTCACAACAACAACAATGTTATGTACCAAATGTTGGTATATAAACCGAGTTGGTTTTGGACTCGGGTTCGACCCAACCCGTGTGACAACGTTCCAGGTACATTGAACCTGGACGTGTGACCTTTCAATTGTCCACCACCTGACGGTTTTAGGAGTTACAAGGTGAATTAAACACCATAATGTTGCTCATTTATAAGGATGATTAATGGTGAGTTAAACACCATTAGAGCATCTCCAACCATGCCCTCTATACATACAGTTTCTACAGTAAAATCCCACTAGTTATACAGTTTCAATAGTGCCAGCAACTCCAACTCATTCCCTCTATAATTCCCCTCTAAAAGAATATTTCAAGCATATTCTTTTCTAATTATAAATGTTGTAGGTTCATCGAGCTGAACTTTTGCCATAATTCCTTCAACTCTGTGGTTGGCTATATCTCGGTATCCAGGTGGGTTATTCAAAATTTGTCTATGCCTTGAATGATAATTGCTTTGTTTATGTGGGTATGATCAATGTATGCATGTGAGCATGTAATCTTCGATGTGAGTTGTACCGACCGTCGAACGGTTATCCCCGTAGCTATAGAACGTACCTCGCAAGGGTAATCTCCACGTTTGTCCTTTGCTAAGGACCACGTCATCTGCAAGACCTTGGCAATGTGCCCTGGCCGGTGATGGATATCCTGTCCAAGCACTAGGTGTGTGCTATGACGGTTGAGCCTCCTTCTGTTTGGGAACCCCATTTATGTTCACCGAAAGGCATACGAGCAACAGTCTATTGTTATGGGTGTGCACATGAGAATTACTTTGGTTAGGAGATAGGATATTTATTGAATATGTTCATACAACGACCATGCCATTTAATTTTTCGTACTTTATTATTGTTCATGTGCATAGTAGTGAGCACTACAGTTCACCGTGCTCACTCCCACCTTCTCTTCATGGATGCAGGTTAAGCAGGTGTTGTCTGATGAGACAGAGACGAGTGGTGTTGGTCTTTGATTGACCTCATTTAGTTTATTCCGCATGCTAGACCATTTATGTTTATTTATGCATTTACGACTTTGGGCAATTATGATTTATGACTTTGGATCTTTGGACTTTGGATTGAGAGATGTTCCCTTATGAATTTGGATGAACTTGAGATTTATGGAAACTTCGGATTTATGATTTATGCAAGTATGATTTATGTTATTTATGTGATTTAAGTTGAGTAGCGCCAATGATTTATGAAAAATATTTCTAAAAATTTTAAGTTGATTTTTTGAAAAGTCCTTAATTTTCGTAAAATAAAAGTGGGCGTTACAGATTTGTTGACTTTGAGGCATTCTAGAGTTCTCTGAAATATTTCTAAGTCTGGTCTTCTTAACTGATTTATCTGATCTATCTTATCTGACTGATCTGATCTTATCTGAACTAGCTTATTATTATCTGACTTATCTGACTTGGTTCGGAAAAATACTGAATCTCGGTTCACGCTTAAACCGGTATTCCAAACTGCTATTCTCGAATCGTCCAGACTATCCGAACTGATTCGGCTGAACTGGACTGGTGGCTCGATCTGAGCCAGTCGGTTGCTCATTTGACTGGGTGCAACTCGGTTTAACCGTGGTCTGGGTACATACGCACAAATACGACATCAACCGGCGCACAACTTTTCTACTCGGATCTAGAGTTCATCCGGTCTGACCGAGAAAAGGTCGAACTACGGTTCTCTACTCAACCAGCTATCTATCTCGGTTCAAGACAAAACTCAAACTCTAAGTTCAACGTGATTTCTAGTGATTTTAGGCCCAACAACTGCAGCTAAATTCTTAACCGGATAATATCTAGGGTTTTTCAATAAAAGCAGCTAAAGTCTCGAATTTTAGGCATACCAAACAGTCTCCAAAAATTATAAAATCTTAACCACAACATACTCATCATTTATGATATTTTCTATAAAATTTTCATTGCATTTCGAGGTCTTTAGCATTTTTATCAAAAATCGGGCTTTACGGCTACATATTCAAAAATCTGGTTAACATAGTAAACGGGCACCAAAAGTCACGAAATTAAGACCTAGGCCTCAAGTTAGCTATACGGATTTTATCACCTTGGTTTAGCATTTTTCCGAGTAGCACATAATATTTACTGAATTTAATGCCATTTTGTCTGATAAATTCACAATAAATCGTATAATACTCGAAATCACCTCCCGGAAATTTTAAAATTCATCTAAATACTCGGATAAGCACATGTAGTCAGAGTTTAAGCTAAAGTACCTCACGAAGGGTTTCGAAACATAAATCCAAAAATAGGAAAAAACAAGGAGAATAGATCGGCTATAGATCGGGTGCTACGATCTACTCGGATCTAAGGCTAGTTTGCTGCAAATGTTGGGTTCTGTTAGGAACGTCAAACAACATGCACAATATTGAACTTTATCGA